GAATTATGAAATAGATAATTGAATCATGAAATGAAGAAATGCTTGAATGGAGTGATGAACTTATGAAATGATGAAATGATGAAATGAAGTATGAAATTATGAATTGAATTATGAAATAGATAATTGAATCATGAAATGAAGAAATGCTTGAATGGAGTGATGAACTTATGAAATGATGAAATGATGAAATGAAGTATGAAATTATGAATTGAATTATGAAATGGATAATTGAATCATGAAATGAACAAATAAATAATACATTAATGAAATAATTGATTTGAATGATGAAATGAACAATGAAATGATGAATTGAATTATGAAATGATGAATTGAATTATGAAATGAACAATGAAATGATGAATTGAATTATGAAATGATGAATTGAATTATGAAATGAACAATGAAATGATGAATTGAATTATGAAATGATGAATTGAATCATGAAATGATGAATTGAATCATGAAATGACAAATGCTGGAATATTGACACAAATCCCCTCCCATACACTTTGACGTATTGGTTCTTCACAATAACGAATCGGGGGTTAGTTGCTGATAGATCCACTAGATGGCCACACCATACAGTGTCTCTTAGTGGATTTTTACTGCATTCTGAAGAAATTTTATGACGTTCATGGGGGTACTTTTTACCGAGACTTTTGTGTTTTTTAGAATGGATTATTGATATTCTACAGACTGTATAAAAACACCGTTTCAGTGTGGAAAATGGCCATTGATGTTTGTCTTTTTAATCTATAACAAGTGTGAATAAAGTATAAAATTATGAGATTCATCATATGAATTGGGTAGGAGGGAGGGAGGGGGACATTGGATATAGATTTTGAAGTATCGGTAAAGTAAAGTCCATGTTTTCATGCTTAGGGGCCTATATGAGGATGCAAGGCTGAATTCTCTTCAAACTCCATTATATGGAAAGGGGTGAGGATTCTATATTTGAATAAAATAAAGAAACTATCCAAAATTATAAAGAATCAATTCGCATGTAAAAATAGATCAGAAATCAGATCGTTTACTTTGAAAAATATAACACAAAACAATATAACTTCTATTACGAAAAATTGAAAATGGCATAAAAACTCGATGGATTCAACTATGATGATGAGAATCATAGCAATCCTGCAGCAATCTTCAAGCATTGCACATTAATGTTATCTTATACATGTAAAACGTATCACAATAAACACCCGTATTTAAAATAAGCAGAACATGAATTCAACTCATTGCAAAATATTACATGACATTAACACACTGTTTATTTTACATTATGGCCTCTCTTAAGGAGCTCAACTTTCAAATAATCTCTTAGTTTCTTTTCGTTTCTCAGCTTTCTTTTTATACCAAGCTCTGATATTTTTTCCTTAATCTGAGCAAGTGACATTGAATCAATATCCAAAGAAGAACCAGCATTGGGAGAAAGTGGTTCTTCTGACAAGTCAACTTTCTGGCGTTTTTCAAAAATAGTTTTTTTTCCAATACTCAGGATCAGCCTTCTTATAACAATGAGCAGTTCGCTTTTGACTAGCCAGTTGACGTTGCCGCCAAGTTGTTTTGACTACATCAGAACAAGCACCGATCTTGTTGGACTTTCGAGTATGAATACTTTTTACAATATCATTGAGTTTCTCCATGCCCTGTGCACTGAAGTTTCTTAACCCGTTGTGACGGGCACAGAGAAGGGGAACATGGTACACAAGAATATGTATGTAAGGTGTAATTTTATTACGGTCATATCCAGTTATTTTGCCCTCAAGGGACAAGAAAAGAAGAACCCATTCTCTTGCTAATTGAAAAACAGTAGCTTCAGATGGACTTCCATGTACAATTGCATGATAAACTGCAGCAAAATCACCTTATGGCTTAATCAACCTGGTTTTCAGTACCAGGGTGGAGAACTTGGTTTGCAATGAGGGTTTGAGGCAGCGATTTCAGGAGCTTCTTTTTCTCTTCACCAACTAAACTTGAACAATCAAAGGGTTTATTCCCATTTCGCCAGTTTCCCATTTCGCCATTTTCCCATTTCCCCACTTCGCCAGTTTCCCATTTCGCCAATATCTTAT